CTGGGATGAAGGGCTATCAAGTTTGTTTAAATGAATGACCTTGAACAACTTTCAAGGTCACAGGGGTCAAATATGACAAAATCTTTAAATAACTTCTTCTCAAATACTAGAAGGCCTAGGGGGCTAATACTTGGCCCATAGCATGCTGGCATGGAGCCCTACAAAGTTTGTTCAAATGAATGACCTTGGCCCACTTTCAAGGTCACAGGGGTCAAATATGTTAAAATATACAAAGGACTTCATCTCAATAAGCAAAAGTCTATGAGTGCCGATATTGGGTCTGTAGCATGCTGGGAGGAAAGGCTACCAAATTTATTTAAATGAATGACCTTGAACAACTTTCAAGGTCGCAGGGGTCAAATATGTCAAAATCTTTAAATAACTTCTTCTCAAATACTAGAAGGCCTAGGGGGCTAATACTTGGCCCATAGCATGCTGGCATGGAGCCCTACAAAGTTTGTTCAAATGAATGACCTTGGCCCACTTTCAAGGTCACAGGGGTCAAATATGTTAAAATATACAAAGGACTTCATCTCAATAAGCAAAAGTCTATGAGTGCCGATATTGGGTCTGTAGCATGCTGGGAGGAAAGGCTACCAAGTTTATTCAAATGAATGACCTCAACCCACTTTCAAGGTCACAGGGGTCAAATATGTTAAAATATACAAACGACTTCTTCTCAACAAGCAAAAGTCCATGAGTGCTGATATTGGGCCTGTAAGATGCTTGGAGGAGAGGCTACCAAGTTTGTTCAAATGAATGACCTCAACCCACTTTCTAGGTTTGGCTTGCTTTTTGTCAGATGACCGTTAAGGCCCATGGGCCTCTTGTTTTCAATAGTTATGGTGCGATCGTGTGAAGAAGATACAAATGTGAACATAGATAGGATTAATTGATTAAGTTGAAGAAGTTTTTAGCTCACCTGGCCCTTAGGGCCAAGTGAGCTTATGCCAAAGCGTGGCGTTTGGTCGTCCGTCCGTCCGTCCGTCCGTCCGTCCGTCCTGTGTCCATCACTTTTCATTTAAACAACCTTTTCTGAACTACCAAAAGGCGTAGAGTTATCCTATTTGGCTGGAAGGTTCCTGCCATGAAGCCCAAGAAAGTTTGTAAAAAGAAATGACCTTGACCCATATTCAAGGTCAAAGAGGTCATATGTTAAAACATTTAAACGACTTCTTCCCAACTACTGGAAGGCTTAGAATCATTATATTTGGCTGGAAGGTTCCTATGATAAAGCCCAACAAAGTTTGTGAATAGAAATGACCATGTCCCATATTCCAGGTCACAGAGGTCAAATGTGTTAAAACCTTTAAATGACTTCTTCCAAAATACCGGAAGCCTAGAATCATTATATTTGGCTGGAAGGTTCCTTTGATAATGTCCAACAAAGTTTGCGAATAGAAATGACCATGTCCCATATTCCAGGTCACAGAGGTCAAATATGGTAATACCTTTTAAATGACTTCTCCCCAAATACCGGACTCATATTCAAGGTCATAACGGTCTAATGCATTAAGCCTTTGAACAACTTCTGCTTAACCAAAAGGCCTAAAATCATAATATTTGGCCAAAAGGTTCCCTTGATAGTGCCCACATAGTGTGTGAAAAAATAGCTTGACCCATAAAATAATTTAAGGTCACTGGGGTTAAATTTAGTAAACTCTTCTGATTGACCAAAGGCTATCATATTTGGCCAGTAAAAGTTTCACAAAGGCTTATATACAAATATGTAGAACCTTCCAATGACTTGTTAAAGGAATATATTTGGCTGGGAATTTTCTTGGCATAATTTGGAATAAATTATAAAGACCTTTCAGAGTGATGTCACACTGTTCCAAAAAATAGATTAGGCCAAGCCCCCTGGAGGTCTGAGAGGCTTGAGCTAAGTAATGTGAAAAACTACATGTTAGCCAATTACTTATGTTCTATTCACAGCATTACAATACAGAAAACATGATCAGAAAGAGAATTGCAAGAGCTTCATTTTGATTTAAGATTCTTCATAATTATAGCATAAATAAATAAGATATTCTAAGTTGACCCCATTTGCTATGCAGTGTTTATAGGCATACAGTAAACTGTTATTAGTATATCTCCAGTAACTGGGGCTTAACTGACCATGGTGACATCACTAATGATATGTATGAAATGTTTTATTATTGGTTTTGAGTTAGGATTATGGTTTATAATTACATCTACCTTAATTTTTCCTGTCTTTATATTTAATTGTTGCTATATATTGTTGACTTGTGCAAGTCTCAAATATGTTGTATCTGTGTTTGTAAACAATGATCTAAAGGGCAAGTAAGCTTCTGCTGTCCTGGGTCTTCCGTCCAGCTATAACTAAGAGTTTTTCTGCTATATTGTTTGACCATCTTCTTTCCTTGATTTAAAAGAAAGCTATCAATTATATTTAACTGGAAACATCATAAGAAAGTCTCAATTCAACATTGCACAAATGAGGGGGCTGACTACTAAGGGACAGAACCCATATGGAGTAATTTGTCATATTGCTTAAAGCATCTACTGTGGAACATATGCACAGATATTGTACAGTTGGTCATAAAGATCCAGGTGAGCGATACAGGTCCTCTGGGCCTCTTGTTTTATTTCAGGATGAAATAAATTTAGTTTTCAGGAATTGGAATCAAAATCAGTGCAGAACTCACATATATATGATGTATACTGTTCGAAAAGAAAAAAAAAATTGCTAAGACTTGACACAGATGAAGATAAACATTGTTTGATAATGCCTGTGAATGCACATGTACGAAAATAAGACATCTTTGTTTGGATCCAAGATATGATACATTACACACACACAGATCATCCTGATGTAAATGTTTAAAGGTCAAAAGTCAGGTCAAGGTTGTGTGGTCTGACATGTTAGTGTTTTGGTAGAGATGAAATGTATCTTTGTCATGTGGTTTTTAAACCAATGTCTTCTCCTGATTGTAGGTATATAAGATGGAGGTGGTTGTGGAAGGGGGGGGGGGGCGCAGGAAGGGAATGTGGGAATGGGATGAAGGAGGGGGCTGTAAAAGGGGGACAAGGAAGGCGTATGTAGGAAAGATCTCAATAAACATCTGGTTTCTCTGCAGTAAGACACTGAACACTTGTCTTGTTTATCAAAGAAGAAATACATCTCATAAACAAACATTTTGACAAATTTTCTATTTCACAAACCAGTGCTTACGTAATTGTATGATCTGATAACACAGGGGAGGTAGGATTTCTGATGTGTGGACCACTTGTATGCCTTACTGAGAATACTGGTAGACATCAATGGCCTGATAGATTGAAAAATCTGTCACTTCAGACTGGCATTAAATTTCATGTTTTTCTTTTAATGATAAAGTATGATGTGGAGATCAGATAGGTTGGATAAATTAAAGGTGTTCCCTTGTATGAAATTCTCCTCCCAACTATTTAAAAAAAAACGACTGTAAATACCAACTTTCCGAACCCTTCCACTGTATATATACCCATAAAACAATACAGGAACTCAGATTTCATCTTCAATCATACAAATACAGCTAATCTTATACTAACATTTCTTTGAGCAATCACATGAAATTTGACGATAGAAATCAGAAACAATCAGACTTGTAGTTGAGACTACAAGAGATAAATTGGATTTGAATCAAAGCCTCAGTGATTGTCAGAATCCATGCTACCTTGATAAACTATGCTATCAAGTGGGATTAAAAAGTGAAACCATTTGTTCTGGAAAATTAAAAATGGCATTTTTTTCATTTTAATTTAAAATTTGATTATGTGGATAGAACAAAGAAGTAAAATGTGTTAATATCTGTATTGACAGATAACCATGTACAAAATTGTGTTAATATCTGTATTGACAGATAACCATGTACAAAATTGTGTTAATATCTGTATTGACAGATAACCACATACAAACTTGTGTTAATATCTGTATTGACAGATAACCATGTACAAAATTGTGTTAATATCTGTATTGACAGATAACCATGTACAAAATTGTGTTAATATCTGTATTGACAGATAACCACATACAAACTTGTGTTAATATCTGTATTGACAGATAACCAGATACAAACTTGTGTTAATATCTGTATTGACAGATAACCACATACAAACTTGTGTTAATATCTGTATTGACAGATAACCACATACAAACTTGTGTTAATATCTGTATTGACAGATAACCACATACAAACTTGTGTTAATATCTGTATTGACAGATAACCACATACAATCTTGTGTTAATATCTGTATTGACAGATAACCACATACAAACTTGTGTTAATATCTGTATTGACAGATAACCACATACAAACTTGTGTTAATATCTGTATTGACAGATAACCACATACAAACTTGTGTTCATATCTGTATTGACAGATAACCACATACAAACTTGTGTTAATATCTGTATTGACAGATAACCACATACAAACTTGTGTTCATATCTGTATTGACAGATAACCACATACAAACTTGTGTTCATATCTGTATTGACAGATAACCACATACAAACTTGTGTTAATATCTGTATTGACAGATAACCACATACAAACTTGTGTTAATATCTGTATTGACAGATAACCACATACAATCTTGTGTTAATATCTGTATTGACAGATAACCACATACAAACTTGTGTTAATATCTGTATTGACAGATAACCACATACAAACTTGTGTTCATATCTGTATTGACAGATAACCACATACAAACTTGTGTTAATATCTGTATTGACAGATAACCACATACAAACTTGTGTTAATATCTGTATTGACAGATAACCACATACAAACTTGTGTTAATATCTGTATTGACAGATAACCACATACAAACTTGATATTTTAGTATTTAACTTCAGTTATCTGTCCATACAAAGACAGACGATTACATAGTGTTACACTAGAAAGAAGTACACATGCACCGTTGTATTACATAAATAACAATCAAGTACGAAATAAACAACACACTTTCAGAAATAAAAACAAGGAGACTACTTGAAACCAGAAATATGACTTTACTATCGCTTTGAGAGAACAGCCGAAAATTGAATTATTCCTGACATGATTTAAAATACAAACGAAACGAGCAGTTAAAGTACAGAAAAAAATAGCTACTGATGTAAAACTGCTAGAAAATGAACAGGAAGTGAGTTATGACAAACAATTGTAGTGAGAATATCTTGTTTCAACAGTCTGAGTGATGGTAATGTTTCTATGTTAATGTTATCATAAAGTTTTCTTTTACTCTCATAATTTGTAAGTCCTCTTATCTTAAAGGCAAACAGGGAGCAAATGTTTTATTGAAATTAGGTTGACCATCCATCTGTCTGTCTGTCTGTCTGTCATTTTTTTGTTTTTGTATTTTGTTTCAATACAATATCTCAAGTTCTGTTAAACCAAGTACACCCACACTTTACCCATTTTTTTTTCTAAGAAAGTGCTTGTGAAGGAGATATTTTCTGGTCCTTAGGTCAAAGGTCACTGTAATTATGAATAGAAAGTCAGTTTTTTTTGCAAAATATCTCCAGTTTTGTTTCAATAATTACGCTTATAATTTTTCCAATTGCTTCTCCAAAAAAAAAGGTTTCCAATTGCTACTTCAAAAAGAAGTGTTCCTTCTCAATTTGAGTTCATATTCAGAGTTCAAAGGTCAATGTCCTGATTACTATAAATAGAAATGGGGACATGCAGCAAAAATATATCATATCTGAATATTACTGGTAAATATTGACATAATAATGTATCATTGACTGAAATTATTTCAGAAGTCTCGCAACCACTTGTCTAAGTCATAGGTCAAATGTCAAGGTCATATTTCAAATATTTTTGAATAACATATTTTTCATGACATAAGGAAGCATTAATGGTTGAAATCAAACAAGAAATTGACTAACCACCCCAAGGTCATCAAGTCAGAGGTCAAGTCCAAATTATGAATATTTCACAGGCAAATGTTTGAGGTGATAAGTCAATATGAATATATTGTTAAGAAGTGATAAAGCATAATTGGTTAAAATCAAACGAGATGTCAGAATGCAGGTCAAGGTCATCAGATCAAAGGTGAAGTTCAAATTTTAAATATCCATTGATATTACACAGGCAAATTATTGTGTTCTAACAATGAATAAAAATCAACATCATTGCAATATTTGACACTACTAGAAGGGAGCTAAGGATGTTTGCAGACAGTGAGCTAGGGAGATATATAGACAGAGAGCACGGGAGATGTATGGACAGAGAGCTAGGGAGATGTATGGACAGAGAGCTAGGGAGATATATAGACAGAGAGCACGGGAGGTGTATGGACAGAGAGCTAGGGAGATGTATGGACAGAGAGCTAGGGAGATATATAGACAGAGAGCACGGGAGGTGTATGGATAGAGAACTAGGGAGATGTATAGACAGGGAGCATGGGAGATGTATGGACAGAGAGTTAGGGAGATGTATGGACAGAGAGCTAGGGAGATATATGGACAGGGAGCTAGGGAGGTATGTGGACAGAGAGCATGGGAGATGTGTGGACAGAGAGTTAGGGAGATGTATGGACAGAGAGCTAGGGAGATGTATGGACAGAGAGCTATGGACAGAGAGCTAGGGAGATGTATGGACAGAGAGCTAGGGAGATGTATGGACAGGGAGTTAGGGAGCTGTGTTGACAGAGAGTTAAGGAGATGTAAGGACAGAGAGTTAGGGAGATGTATGGACAGGGGGCTAGGGAGATGTATGGACAGAGAGCTAGGGAGATGTATTGACATGCATGGAGCTTAACTATTAAAGAGTAATTAATTCTATGTTTAAAGAAATAGAGAATTTGTGTAACAGCACACCTGTTTTTTTCATTATAGAAATGTTCTATATAAAGATAATCTGTGTGAAGAAAGGCATAGTAAACGTAGAGGCTATCATCAAGTGAGATAACTTAATAGTGGAGTATCATATTGTTCTGCCAGTGTGATCTCTTAAACACTCTCCAGTAGTGCAGAAAGGTGTGTAAAGCACTAGTGATGGACACTAAAACAAAATTTAGCACTCATTATAAGTTGTAACTATATATACATTTAAAACAGGTGAAAATCTAAGCACAGACAAATAAATACAGGGAGGTTTACACACATTGATAAATATCTGGTGACATAGGTGTACAAAGATGAATATCTGATTGTATACATATATCTGGTGACTCTTGTATACATATAACATGTGATTGATGACTTTTTTATACATAAATATCTGGTGACATTTGTATACATATATCATGTGATTTTGTATACATATATCATGTGATTTTGTATACATATATCATGTGACTTTTGTATACATATATCTGGTGACGTTTGTATACATATATCTGGTGACTTTTGTATACATATATCTGGTGACTTTTGTATACATATATCTGGTGACATTTGTATACATATATCTGGTGACGTTTGTATATATATATCTGGTGACGTTTGTATACATATATCTGGTGACGTTTGTATACATATATCTGGTGACATTTGTATACATATATCTGGTGACGTTTGTATACATATATCTGGTGACGTTTGTATACATATATCTGGTGACTTTTGTATACATATATCTGGTGACGTTTGTATACATATATCTGGTGACGTTTGTATACATATATCTGGTGACATTTGTATACATATATCTGGTGATGTTTGTATACATATATCTGGTGACATTTGTATACATATATCTGGTGACTTTCGTATACATATATCTTGTTACTTTTGTATACATATATCTTGTTACTTTTGTATACAATATTTCTTTACTTTTGTAAAAAGTGATAAATGACAGATACCTGTTGACTTTTGTTTTACAAACTTCTAGCGATTTTTGTATACAAATATCTGGTGACGTTTGTTTTATGAAACCAAATTCAAATCGTTTTGCCATTGAACAAACAAGAATGTTGATTATAAATTCACGTAACAGATAAATCAATCTGACATGTTTCAACAAACCTACAGCTGTGATACAGAATGTTTCTAATTTTGTTTAATCCATGTCTCAGTGGTCATCTGTAACCAGTCTTTGTCTAAACAGGGCACTTTCGATGACTTTTGTATACAAGTTCCTGGTGATTTCTGTTTGAAATTATCAATAATTGAACTGATATGGTTACTTTGTTTATAAAGTGTAATTTCTTCTGTAATTTCATACTATGAGAAATACAATATGACTGGTTTTTTTCAATAGTAAAAGTCCGATAACTATGTATACTACGAGAAAAAATTTGATGACTTTTGTATACAAAGATAAATATGAGGTTTTTTACATATTAGAAAGAGCTACTTAAATGACATGTTTATGTTAACTTTGATGACTGCCTGCTCAGTAATGATGTCCAAGTTGACAGCTTATTTTGTTGAGGAGAGTATACAAAGTATTCTCTACCTGTTTCATGTTCTGTGACGCATTGTTTCAAATGTGTAAAAATGCTTACTGATTGTACACTTTGATGTAAATAAAGAGGAAGATTAATTGAAAAAGGCTTTACATTCTGACCCAAACTTGAAATCAAGTGCGTATATTTCAGCAAATTTGAAAATCTCATCCAAAAGAAGTAATTTTTAAAGTAAAAATGGTGATTAATCTACAATTTATTTTCATCTTTTTTGTCTTTATTGCTAAATACAACAGATTCCACAATGTAATATTTAAATATGTCCAGAAATTCTTTGAGTTCCATCAAAACCTTATGAGTACTTGACTCAGGATTTGCATGTAGATCTCTCGCTATACATACAGAGGGTAGAAATTGTTTTAAGTTGACAATGCAGTGAATAATCAGACAACAGCCTGAGGAAATGAGTGACGATTGCCTGAGCCTAAATATTGACAGGTACATGGATGAGTTTCTCCTGTGGATAAATGAAACCTATAGCATCCCATTGACAGTGTGATAGCTATCTATTGGTTATATACGATATGTAAATTAGCCGTTAATCCTGACTTTGTTGTTCGTATTGATTCGTCAGAATGGTGTCATCGCTTTTGACAAGCTTTATACAAGGACCAACTAAAATTAGAACTTCTGCCCCAAATCATGGTCCTTTGAGTGGTTGCTTGCTACAGTCTGTCATATTGAATTTATAAGAGTCTCTGCGATTGTTATACCAATCACAACACAGAATGTGTCGGAGAGTCTTACGGAAGTACGGGCTGATGATACAATATAGAACAAAGTTCACTGAGAAGTTCACAGACTGCATAAAGTTCATAACTACTTCAATAGCCTTGTAGGTGGCATCACTATCACTTTTGGTGATCTGGGCAATGTGCAACACAATCTCAGAGGGCGCCACCAGTATGAAGAACATGACCACAATTACGATTAGCGTAATTGTTAATGTGTTGTTAGAATCCTTCGGATCTTGTTCACAGTGAAACTTTTGTCGTAATTTATACGATTTATGGATCTTATAGCAGATGCAGATGTTAAATCCAATCAGGAGAATGAGAGGAATGAAATTTCCGACGATTGCCCAAAGTACACGATATCCATCATCCAGTGTATTACTATCACACAAGGGCACTTGTTTAAGATGATAAACTTTCGAGGTCATATTTTCACATAAAATTTCACGAATTTGATATCGCCATAACACTGGAATATTAAAAGCCACAGATACTAGATACACCAGCACTATGACAAACTTGGTTTTACTTAGAGTCATGAAAAGTTTGCTATTCAGGGGATGGCAGATAGCAATATACCGTTCTGTCGCCATGGTTACAGTGAGCCAGGTACTCGACATGATAAACACATTGATGATGGCTGTGGAATACATCCCATAATATAGTATGAAGCCTTTTGTTTTGTAATACTCGCCTGTTGGTAAGAAGGTTGTCGGAAAGGCGAAAACACAAAACATTAGATCTGAAAGAGCCAATCCAATGAGACACACATATGCAGCTTGTTCAACGGTGCGGTACGACTTTTGTAACTTTCGACGAGTAAGAATTGTCAAGTTTAGAATATTTCCCACAATTCCAAACAAACAGACAACAGGAAGTCCATAGTTATAGAAAACATTGCTTATATCCTTAAGAACTCTTTTCTGTGCCTCGGTAAAGTTGACAGGGGGAGTTAACCCCGACACATTTCCTATGGGAACACACTCCATATTGGAACTCTTCACTGATTAATGTAGAAATGACATCACTGGCTGGGGACTGATGTATGGAGTGAGACTTTGATGAAGGAGGTTTTACTTGCCTTTGATTTCGAGAAAAGAGTACCTGTTTAATGATATGGAGAAAACCACATTAGTTATTGTGTCAACATGTAACTGAAGAAATAGCAACAAAATATTACTTACTGTCTAATCATTAATTTTCGTGGGTGATTAATCTTCATTGATTTCTTTGATACTCTAAATCTGCTGATTTAGGTCCACAAATTGTTTGAACTAGAGTAAATTTATAGAGTAATTATTATAATATTTTTCTAAAAGTCATATTAATGGCCATGGAATGGTGCTATTTTGAAAAACCATGAAAACTGAGCTCCAGGAAGTTAGATGATTTTGCACTATTAGACAAAGCCCTATTGATTATCAATGATAAAACAAGATAGAAGAAAGAAAAGGTTAAGGTATAAAAATTCTGTCATAAGTCAGAAATGATAAAATGTAAACAAAGATTTTGATACGTTTGTTCTCTTGTCGTGACAGGTAAGGTCAAGAAATTTAGCGATGCCAAGACATTAACAGAATCAAAAGCACAAAACATTTCTATCACTCCTTGGAAGTCATCATACACTTTTAGACCAGAATCACCAAATTACATGGTGTACTGTTCATATCGCCTGCGGTCAGTTGGTCATCCTGCTGTATCTGTCTATCCATCGGTAAATAATCAATTCCTGTTATCATTTGAGTTTAGTACTTGAGAAATCATTCTGAAGTTTGATAGAATAGTTTTCACTCATCTGGTCCTTGAAATGTTCAATTTTGAGATTGAAGAGAACAAAAAGATGGCTACCAATTGGCCGTTTTGGATTTGAATGATTTTATTTGTTATATTGTTAGATACTTTGGATGGATCTTTCTATATTTACATTTGAAGTTTTCTCTTGATGACCTGGGTCAGTCTGACTTTAGACTGAAGAGTGGGAAAACAAATTGCACGACAATAAGCCATCTTGGATTTTGACATTTAATGATTTGTAACAGCTGTATATGTCTTCTTTACTGTAAAATCATTAATTTTTGGGGTAGTTTTATTTTTCCTGACTCTTAATACACCAATTTATATGTCTACAAAATGATAAACAGATGAAAATTCAAGTGGATTATAGTACTCATGAATTTCATGGCAAAGTTTTATCCATTAAATCTAGTATCAAGGAAAATTTTTATTTTTGGTAAACCATGAAATTTGATCACCAGTTAAAATGAACGATTGTTCAGTATGCCAAATACCAAGGTAACAGTAAAGTTTCAGAATGATTAAATCAGTACACTTAATGATAAAGTAATTATTATAGGAGACTCTGCTAACTATGGAGGAGACAAACATTGTTCAGTGTATTACAGGGCATGTCACATGGGATTTCACTCATAATGATGCTACAAAAGTCGTTAGTTTTCAAGACAAAAATTAATCTAGCTTGACAATATATGCACATAAATATTGCCAAATTTCTGACACTTTGGTGTCGTGCAGGAATCAGGTTTCCCTGGGGTAGAGGACATCATGGAAATCTGGAGCGTTTTGATTGGTTGATCTATCTATGGGTCAGAGAAATTAGATGCTAAATACTGAATTACAGATTGCTTATGGTGTATGGAGAGTGTCAGTTATCAGTCTGTCACGTCATATTAAATTGTGAGACAGAAATTGCATTGATGTTTAGTATCTTCGTAAATATCTATTTCCTGTCACAATGTCATAAAGTCAAATAAAGTCAGTTTCATAGGAAATAACCTTTGTAACAGGACGGTTAAGGGTTTTTTTTTTTTGTAAATTTGATTTCCTGGACAAATGGGAGAGTAACCTCCCTTTATGATGATTTATTGATCATTAAATGACTCACAAAAATATGAAACACTATCTGATCTGGTATACAATATTGTTTTTGCCAAATAAAACCAGAATCCTGTTTCAGTAATTGTTTACTTTGATAAATGGTCACGTGATTTATCTACATGGTCTGTAAATCTGTGGAAATATCAATACATCTAGGTCTAGAAGAAATTTCAGCTGTCTGGTAGTTTTTTAGTCTTTGTGTTATAATCCCAAGGACCACATATCATCAAATCAAAAGGTGGGCTTATTACATTTCAATATAATTTGTTGGTAGTCCAATGAACAGAAATTGATGTGGTTTAACTGATTACATTTTAATAGCATTTGTTGGTAGTCCAATGAACAGAAATTGATGTGGGTGGGCATATTACATTTTAATAAAATGTGTTGGTAATCTACTGATCACTGCTAGTATCATCAACATTTGATAGGAGTTATGCCCCTTTTGTGAAATCCTTTAACTTTTTTTAAAGTCTCTTTCAGATATTGTTAATCATTATTTCAAATATATATGTTAATATCTAAATGATTCTGTACATTAGTTTTGAAATTATAAATTAATCTGTATGTTTAATTCTTTTTTCTTTTGTTTACAGATCCAATCACCAGAAACCGTAAGTAAACAATGACACATTGAAAAATGTTGTTGCCTCAAACAGAAGGTTTCATGTTGACTGTCAAGCAGACAAAGGTCTCAGTAAATATAAAAACTTAAATGTTTGCTCTCTCAGTAAATATAAAAATTTAAATGTTTGCTATCTCAGTAAATATAAAAACATAAATGTTTGCTATCTAGTAAATATAAAAACTTAAATGTTTGCTCTCTCAGTAAATATAAAAACTTAAATGTTTGGTATCTCAGTAAATATAAAAACTTCAATGTTTGCTTTCTCAGTAAATATAAAAACTTAAATGTTTGGTATCTCAGTAAATATAAAAACTTCAATGTTTGCTATCTCAGTAAATATAAAAACTTAAATGTTTGCTCTCTCAGTAAATATATAAAAACTTCAATGTTTGCTATGTCAGTAAGAATAAAGAAATGTTGCTATTTTGGTAAAAATGAAAAGTTTGTAATTCGGGTAAAATGGAATTGTTTACTTAATATTTGCTCTCTATTGAAAACAAAATTTGGGATTAATATTTCTGCATGAGTTGCTACTACAAATAATGTTCATGTTACTTTATGTAATTCTGTGTAACAAATAACAATTCTATGCTTGAAACATCACATCAGCTTACCTTATAGAGCTGTTGATAGCCGTGAAGCTATGATGATGTTAAATGTGTTTGTAAGTGACCGTGTGATGTGTGGTATGTACAGCCAAAAGCCACTATGACCACCGCTTCACTGGACATCAGTCAGGTGACAGCTATCATTAGTGATGAACCTGGAAAATACAGAGATATGTGGAAATGTAAAAACTCAGACATCCTTGGGCACAGACAAGCATTATTCCTGTAAAAATTGTAATGTTCAAGCTGTTCTTTTTTGCGCTATTTTTGAGGAAGTAACACATTGAGAATAGATATTTGGAGATATTGCCATTAGGATATAGTCCATTTCTTGGCTTTCTTGTTTTTGTTTTTTGGCTGTTTTGGTATTTTGATTTTGGTAAAACTTTTAAAAATTTAACTGTGGGAAAACAAACTCACCAAAAAAAACACTTTACAAAGTACTCCAAATGAAGTGTAGCTAATATCTTCATCTTGATTTCTGAACTGTCCTTGAATTTATACTAGGTATCCTAGATATGATGAAGATCAGAACTTAACACTTAAAAATCAATACAATTGCAAATAGTATATATATGTAATTCCCTCACAAGTGCTGTTTAAGACTGAAAGTCACAGAAAAAATATTAAGAGCAGATAAAGATGTGTTCTTCCTACCGTTGGTCATCTATCAAGGTCATCTATCAAGGTCATCTTGTACTGGGATATATTCTGAAATGTTTCCCTAGCCTTTAGATATCTACTACAACAACCTACATCATACTTGTAATTATCTGGGATTGGGAGCATGTCAGCCAATCCTCATCATGAATTACCATTTCTCCATTATCTGTAATGGTATTGACCAACCATAAGCCTTGTTATATAATGATCCACAGAAACTAGCCTAAAGGCTTAAGATAGAAACGTCTGTCATTGCAGTTTGCTGATGACAAACTTATTAACCTCAATATGGCTTGTAGATAATTTCTAAAGGTGATCACCTGTAAAGGCAGGTGAGAAATACAGGTAAATCGTGGTTTATCAATATGATTGTGACCAACCTAGCAACGTAGATCAAGATTATGGTAAATTTCTCCAGGGTGCCTGGACACCAGTAAGAGTGTGGTAAGATTTAGTGATAGTGGGTGGCAGACACAAGCTGTCACAAAACTCTGAAAAGGGTATAAAGATGAGTTTATTTCTTAAAGTCTATTTTGATATACTGCTCCAAGTGGTATTTATTCATTTTACTATATATACAAACATAAAAACGGTGAATTAACAACTTTTCCTGAGGTGGCTCCAAAATGAACAGTACACCTAACTTGAAAACCCTGAAGCAACGTTTTTCGAACACCTTCTGGGCGGCTGTCAACAGACGTCCATAGAAATGACTTGTTGTCCAGGAGTTTTTCTCCACACTATAAGTGAAATCAGTGGGTTACCATGATAATAGTAGGTTTCAATGCTATCAAATTGTTTTGACTTGATGGCCCTCGGTCACTCAGGGTGTGATGTTGATATTGTTGCTACCAATATGCTAATTATGCTTGTATAATTGCCAGACATGATATTAGCAATTTAATATAATTGACATCCTGCTCAGAGAGATTGCAGCTGCATTTTGCAAGTGATTTGCATGCCTGTAATTGAGCAAAGGATGCTTTTCTTGCTTGTAATACCAGATTAAAGCTATTTGTGATTCAAGGTCTTTGTAATTGAAAACATTCAAAGAATTTCATTGGTTTAATAGGAGATTGAGCTGTAGATATTGGAGAAGTTATGAACAAAACAAAATTATAGACATTTATTTTCATCTGCTAAAACAATTTTGAGTGTTTTGAAAAAATATTGGTTAAGTTCTTCATGATCTATTTATATCAATTCTAAAAATAAGATGTTTCAATTAAAATAGCAAACTTTTGCTAGTAAGGTTTGAAAGATCGACACTGACCTAATCTGATAACTCAAAGAGGTAACAATTTTAGCCTACCAACATTATATCATACCATAGGGATGTGAGAATATCCCTTCGTTAATGGTCAGTGGTCTGTTCTTTACAATTCTTGTTATCATTATTTCTTGTGAAGTACAAGATTGGCTTTCCCAAAGTTTGATGTAGATTCCTCTTCATCCATGGTTGTGCTGACTTTTGATTTTGAAACTATCAGAAAAGTAATATGGCCGACAGTCAGCCATCTTGGATTTTGACAATGAACTTTTGTTATGGCTGAATGGATCCTTCTTAGATTTCACATGTAAATCCATGGTCTTATATTATATTTATTTTGGGACGAAGTTGAAACTTAAAAACTCATACTGAAACTTAATTTTTAAAGTTCATATAATTAAAAGCAGATAAGAGAAAAGTAGAAAAAATAAGGATAAAGATCCAACTCTAAAACAACAAATAAAGACCAAACAATGGTGACAGGAACATGCCTCTGGGTTGTCTCACGTTTAATAGAATTGGGGATATCAGTATTATTGAACAATAGTATTCAGGCTGCATGTTTATCAGTGTTGTTCATCATTTACAAAAACATGTCTAAAAGTTTCTTGGAATCATCACTAACCCTGGCATTCAAAATTTACTATAGAAAGCAGTGCCCACAATAACGTGTGTGAGATCCTTTGTTGTGCTTGATTATTTACAACATATAAAATCAAAATTTGGTGTTTTGAAGGTCTTAGTGCTTAGCTCTTCAAAGAAATATAGGTGTTATAAAATGGTGAAAGTATGGTTAAAGTTTGTTTTAAACAGTGTGATAGTAAGCAGATTATTTAGTTGTTTAAACAAGTGTAACTTATAATTATCAGAAAGTGTAATTCATTTAGAAAAGTGTAAATTCTTGTAAAAGAGTGTAATTCTTATTAAAAAAGTACTTCATTTAGAAAAATGTCATTCTTATAAAACAAAGTGTTATTATTGTGCGTTTGTTTTTTTAGAAAAGTGCAGTACTATAAAAAAAGTGTAATCATTATCCACATGTTGCGTTTTTTCAGGTTGAAAATATTCTAAACATTGACATGTTCCCTGCTTTATAAGGAAAGTTATGATCTTAAGATCTCAGCATAATTTGTGTCTAAAAGTCTATATAATTTTGGCACAGGGTCATGTGACTATCAAATGTTTTGGGAATATTTTTTTCCTTGGTGGTGTTGTGAAAACATCTTATCTGACTAAAACTGAAGCTCTCGTGTAATGTCTTCTAATACAGACTTCAGCTACCATAAGAATTGTGTTAATATAACAGAAAGTGATGCCCCTTATGATTACCACCAAGACATAGTGATGTGTTTCTTGAAAACATTTTTATTTGACAAAAACTACAAAATCCTCAACCAGTTAACAGGGGAAGGGGGAGAACTGTTCAGAGGTGTGGCATGATCCCTGAGTGTTAATTTAAGTGTTGAATAAGATTTTCAAAAATGAAATGACGCTAACACATACATTGCCTAATTGTTCTCACATAATTGGATTCAGAGAAATATTGTTGTAACAAGGTAAATTGATTTTCTTGGGGCCATTTTGAACCAGTAAATATTGTTTCAGCATCATTAAATGAAGTCTCTAAGATGCCAAGAACACCTGTTTGTATAACGTATCAGTACATTTCATGCATCTGAAATCTGTACCAAATCTACAGTACAACACACATATTTCTGGACATCACTGTTTCTGATTACTAATATCTTTGATGGTATCCTTCTTGTTTATATGTTGAAATGTACTGTTCTAAACTATTAACTTGTCTCACAGCAACATCTGTAATTGACAAGTCATTGATATCATAAACAGGTACAAATGAACATGAACAGAACATTTATAAATGAGATGATATAGTATTCCCTTATGTTGGATTTGTGATGTCAATAAATTGATTGAAAATTTCTTTCTATTTGTGTTATTAAGAAATGATGAAATCAACAGCATCATGTGTCATTAAACTTAATTGTAATATATCTCTTTATGTACTGTTAATATATAACACTGCAATTTTTAGCTCACCTGACACAAAGGTTTGTGGTTTATCAACTCTACCCAGGTAAAGATCTGAGGTGTGGTTTATTGACCATACCCAGGTAAAGATCTGAGGTGTGGTTTATTGACCATACCCAGGTAAAGATCTGAGGTGTGGTTTATTGACCATACCTAGGTAAAGATCTGAGGTGTGGTTTATTGACCATACCTAGGTAAAGATCTGAGGTGTGGTTTACCCAGGTAAAGATCTGAGGTGTGGTTTATTGACCATACCCAGGTAAAGATCTGAGGTGTGGTTTACAAAGGTAAAGATCTGAGGTATGGTTTATTGACCATACCCAGGTAAAGATCTGAGGTGTGGTTTATTGACCATACCCAGGTAAAGATCTGAGGTGTGGTTTATCAACTCTACCCAGGTAAAGATCTGAGGTGTGGTTTATCAACTCTACCCAGGTAAAGATCTGAGGTATGGTTTATTGACCATACCCAGGTAAAGATCTGAGGTGTGGTTTATTGACCATACCCAGGTAAAGATCTGAGGTGTGGTTTATCAACTCTACCCAGATAAAGATCTGAGGTGTTGTTTATTGACCATACCCAGGTAAAGATCTGAGGTGTGGTTTATTGACCATATGCAGGTAAAGATCTGAGGTGTGGTTTATTGACCATACCCAGGTAAAGATCTGAGGTGTTGTTTACCCAGGTAAAGATCTGAGGTGTGGTTTATCAACTCTACCCAGATAAAGATCTGAGGTGTTGTTTATTGACCATACCCAGGTAAAGATCTGAGGTGTGGTTTACCCAGGTAAAGATCTGAGGTGTGTTTTATTGACCATACCAAGGTAAAGATCTGAGGTGTGGTTTATTGACCATATCCAGGTAAAGATCTGAGGTGTTGTTTATTGACCATACCCAGGTCTAGATCTGAGGTGTGGTTTATCAACTCTATCCAGATAAAGATCTGAGGTGTGGTTTATTGACCATACCCAGGTAAAGATCTGAGGTGTGGTTTATTGACCATACCCAGGTAAAGATCTGAGGTGTGGTTTACCCAGGTAAAGATCTTAGGTGTGGTTTATTGACCATATCCAGGTACAAATCTGAGGTGTGGTTTATTGACCATACCGAGGTAAAGATCTGAGGTGTGTTTTATTGACCATACCAAGGTAAAGATCTGAGGTGTGGTTTA